ACAAATTAGATCCCTCTTTTGTCTATACGGAGAGTGATTGCGCATAATTGATTTGTCTATGTAACATCGACCAGTACGTACTTTTATCCACTCGGCCTCACTCATCTCACGGATATGCTTTGGTCTAACCGTCGCCTTTCTGCCCTGAGTTAATGCCCTCACGTACGCATATGCAGTTATCGGGCAGATGAACTAGTCTGCGCGTCTCACCCATCTGTTCTTTGTCCACTTTGTGACCTTCAGTTCATTGCTTCGGCCAGCTAGCAGGAGAAGTCAGTCCTCGGGACAATAAATGTACAACTTTCAGTGGTTTCTTGTTGTGCTGTGGCTCTATGTTCAGCTTGACCGATGTGATATCCGAACTGGTGGAATATAGTTCGTTTCGATTGAGTGATCAGTACGTGTTTGGTAGACGAGGAAGTCCGACAAAGAGCCAGGTCGCTGGCGCGTTCCCAGTCATCTCTAGTTATTGTGACCGATTGGTTAGGGAGAGCGAGGGAGAAGTCGGTGCTCTGCAGGAGTTCTCCAACTTAATGTACTTGTTTTTGCGCAAATCATCATTGTGTCCCCGGGAGCAGTACTGGTTCTCGCGGACTAATAGTCCTCGATAAACTCAACTGGCTCGATCGTGGCTGCCGAGGTATGGAGGCAGTTCAAATCCAGATCTGATGAAAGGTCTGGCGTTTGCTGACAGTCGATGACAACCGTTAGCGTCCGTATTCTTTTCACCCAATCATGTCGATGTGGTCTGAGGCAACCACCTCTATTCTTGAGGAAAAGGTTCGGCGAAAACTGACGAAATTGCGGGAGTTTTTTTAGTTTTGCGCTTCAGGAACTGCCAGACGCATTTGATTGGTTGGTGTTATCAAAGCCATGAAAGCAGCGAATGTCAGCTTCCGTTTTAAACCAACTTTAGTCAGGGGGGCCGGAAACAATCATCCTACGTAAGCCTCATCTCTCTAGCATCTTCCTGCCGTGCTCTGTGTTAGCGGCTTGATGAATGGTGGTGAAAGAGAGCCACCTGTCGGTTCCCATAGTTCTCCCTTCACCCGTTTGGAACATGAAGGACGTGCAAACGTCATGAGGTTCCAGTTTACGGTAATCTCAACGCACGCGGTCTGTCGAAATGCCTCGGTATTTGTAAAATAAATCTCTTATCCAGATTATACACCAACC